GGCGGTTGTCGGCTGTAGGGCGGCGGGACGGCCCTGGGGCTCCGGCCCTGGACTTGGGCGTTTGGGGAAGCCAGTTTGGTAAAGGACTTATACACGGCATCATTATGTTAGTAGTAGTCTAAACGAAATTGTTTTTCGTTTAGAAATTGTAGGATTTTGTTGGCAATTCACTATCAATGCACCATGAAAATTTTTTGATTCTTTTTGTAACACATGGAATTTTTCAATGTTTAAATTAATCCTAGAACATCTGATCTATAAAATCACCATTAGCACTTCATACATATTTGTTACACATAAGACTATTTATTTTTATAGGATAATGTTTTTAAATGTTTCTAAAAACACTTTTTGAAATTAAAATGTTATATTTTTAAATAGTTAGTGTAAAGCTTTTTAAATACGATTTTGCCTAATTTTGGTATTTAACAGATAAGATAATATAGATTTTATAGAGCTGTTTTACAAAATCACCATTTAAGTTTGTTTTTACTGTTGTTTTATATTTTTGCCACACAAATTATTTAAAAACTGAAATTTTATCATGTAAAAAAACAATATTTAGGTATAGATTTATCCGTAAAAATGTTTCACCAACTATTCTAAACGTTTTCACGCACTTTTTGAAACACAATTTAAAATACTAAAATATAGTTACACATTTTTGTTTAAAAAATTGACGATTATACTTTGCACAAATTATTATTTTTTAGCATATATTTTTGAGTTCTAAAATATCTTGATATAAATATGAATATATTTTAACGTTTAAGTTTTCGGATTGTCATTTTGGTAATTTTTTGCAAATTTTAATATTTTGCAAGCACTTTGCAGTTTACAAGAAATTTTGCAGTATTTTTTTAATATCACAGAAGACTGAATTAAATCTCACTATTTAAAACGTATATTAACAAAATGTTTTTAATTAAATAAACTAAATTAAAAATTAAAATATTTTCAAGTTTTCACAGTTTTTAGATAATTACTAACTTTTTTTTATATTAGTTTAATGAATTTATTTTCATATAAACTATAACATAGAATTTATTATATTAAGTTTGCACAAATTATTTACACAAATTTATTTAATATTTCACAAAGTTGTGACAATTTTTTAAGAGTTTACTTCTATATTGCGCGAATTGTTAATTTATAAGCATATTTAACTAAAATTTGATATTTATATAATTTTATATATTAGTTAAAATGTTTTTTTCTCAATTCCAAGACAACTGTTAAATTTAAAATAAGTCTGTAAAAATCTATTCACTTATCCAAAAAATGTCTATTTTAGTCAAACACATGCTTTACTATTGTTGCCAAATTCTATTTAGAACTTTTGCACACACAATTGGGGATGAAGATAATTTGTGTAGATGATTTTTTGATTGGAAACTTAAACTTTGTTCACACACGATAAATTTTAAAGATGATTTTTCAACTCAAAAGTTAAATATTTGCTTGATCTTGTCCACACACAATTTGTAAGATAAAAACATTTCAACAAGTCTCGTCACCACTAAAATAGATTTAATTCAAACACTGACACCACATTTTTTTATACTATTTGCAACTTTTTTAGTGCTTTTTAGACAATACATCGATCCTTCCTCACTGCACAATTTTAGCCAAACTTCATTTTTCCCGTCGAAACCTTAGAAATTCACCACCGATCGATCACATATCGATATCGATCCGCCATCGACTCCGATATCGCATATATCGATTATCTATATACACAATATATCGATATAATCCCAATGCCGTTGCGATATAATACCGGTGTAATATCCCGAACGTGTAACGGATACTAGTATGATCCGGCTAGTGATCTTACCTTACCTTACCGGGACATCCCTACCATCAGGACAAAGGTAGGAGGCGCCAAGGGGGCCTCCTCCTCCGACGGCGGTCTGACTGGCGGTGCCCCATGCGCAGGACAGAGGTAAAGGACCACCATTGGGGCGGAGGTGTGCTCCGATGGGGAATGGATTGTCATCATTTGTCAGGGGGTGCGTTCTAGGCGGGGTTGCAAATGTTGAAGGTTTTTGGAAGGGATGACTCGATGGATGGACGATTCGGTTCAGTGAGGTAGCTTTCTGGACAGGTTTAGGTCGGGAATGGTGGATTTAATGGCTTCTGTGTGCGGGTAATGAGGAACAGGATTTTGGATCGATGTGCGAGGATCGGGAAAAAAAGTTGGAAACGAACTAGGTGAATTGTTATAAACTACCCCGGTTGCATAATGTTGTAATTTTAAAGTTGTGACAAAAATGTATCAACTTTTTATTGACTAACTTCTACCGAAAGCTCAACATTCAAACTGTTTCCTCAGCAAATTGGTTTTCTTAATCAATTTTTGAATATTTTTCAGGATTTTTGGAGTAATGTTTTGCAAGTGATTTGTTCCATTTAATGTCCAGTTCCAGTCAATATGATCCAAAACTTTTTGCCAGAAGGACCTATTTCCTGAGTTTCCTGAGCTGATCTAATTTTGGAAATAGCTTCAGAGTATTTGACCAACCTTCTTCAATTGACTTCTCAACCAATCTGGTTTTAAATCAGATTATTGAATCCAATTTTTTTCCAAAAAAATCTTTTTTTCAAAAAACTCATTTTTAAATTTTTCAAACTATTTTCTTGAATAGTCTTTGGAATCTTTTGACCAACCTTAACTGACTGATTTGTTTTCGAATACAATTTTTAAAATTGCTTCACAATTGTTTGAAACAATATTAATGAACTTTTTTTTCAAATTACTTCTCCGACTGATCTTTTCATTTTGGCATTCATTGTTCAAAATCAGGCAACTTTCAGCTGATATTTGTGAATATTTAGAAATTCTGAACTGACTATCCAATCTCCAAGTAAAAAAAAATTCTGTTGACCAACTTTTTCCAAAAATTCCAAACACCAAATTGAATTTGCCTATTGACCTGTTTCATATCCAATTAATTTCAATACATTTTGAGACAGCATTGGCCAAATTTTACCAACTTTTCTTAAAAACCTATAATTTCAACAATTCCACTCTCCAAAGCTTCTGTTTCAAAATCGCTTTAAGATTTTTTGGGACAACGTTGGAGAAATTTTTTCTCCTGATTAACTGGGTTGAATTTGATAAAACCCTATAAATTAATTACCCAATATGTAAATCTACTATGTAAATGATATTTCTGGTCCCTAGATCTGTTTGGGAATACAATATTTATTTTTTGAGACTCATTTATACAATTTTCTATTTACCAGTCTTTTCAAAAGCTCAACTTTTAAACTTACCATCCAATATCCAAGTAAACATTTTTTGTTGACCAACTTTTTTCAAAAATTCCCAACCAAACACCAAATTGAATTTGCCTATTGACTTGTTAATCTAATTTATTTCAATATTTTTGACACAATTTCTACCAACTTTTCCTGAAAATCTTAAAAACCACAATTCACCTCTCGAACCTTTTATATCAAAATCAGGATTTGTCGGGACAACATTGGAGAAAAATTTATTCCTGGTTTGAATTTGATAAGAAACCCAGAAAAATAAAATAATAAATACAAATTAAATACATTATATAAATCTATTATGTAAATGATATATTTGGTCCTGGTATTCCAAAAACATTCCAAAATTCTAAAATTAAATCGAATGACTTTGCTGGTTTTGCGTAAGTAAGATAATACTCCTAAAAAGGATATAATTTTAAATTTAATCTTTGGCGCCTGGCGTCTAACTTCCTGTAAAAACAGAAGGACAACATATCCTGGAAATTTTATACCCTTGAAAAATATATATGTATATCCTGAAATAATATTGTCATCAGTAGCTTCAGGATTTGACATACACCACCTGAAGGGTGGATTTTCTCCTTAAAATGAAATGTTTCATATAAAATAATCATTTAAAAAAATCTAAGTAAAATTGTCAATTTCATTAAGTTATTTATAATTTTCTTTACATGTGTCTACTTCTAAAATAAAAATGATTCCGAATTACTTGAACAAATATTATCACAGTAGCTGAGTGAGTGTTTTAGGACCTTTTTGCTTCCAGAAGGGCCCCCTTGTTTCGAGGGGGCTCCCTTTTGTGTTTCGACGACTTTGCGAGGGAGTCGTCAGGTCGTCCCATTGTAATAATATTTGCATTGTCTAAAACGTTATTTCGCTTGATCTGATTAAGAAATTGTTAAAAATGAGGTACTAACCGAGGGTTCCGTACTAACAAAGAAAAGGATACGGGCTCTGAGGCAAAATTTAGGAGTCTTTGAAATCGTAAGATCCTGGGAATATTTTTTCCAAGGAATCGCTGTTTGTGAGGTAGCTATAGTTTCTATGCAAATTTTTATAAAAAAATTGTTTATATACTTCTTTTTATTGTTATTGCATTTTATATTAAATGTATACATGCATTTGCACCTAAGATGAGTCAAACAAAGACTCGAAAGGACTGAAAGATTTTTTAAAACAAACTTTAAACGTAACTCAGTTTTTTAAATAATTGTTTATATATATATATATATATATATATATGTGTGTATGTATATATATAATATTATATATAAATGTGTGTGTGTATATGCACGTGTATTTCCATAATTCAAAATATGACAGATGTCACGTTCTTAAATAATTTTTTGTCCCTTCGTTTTTATTGTGTAAAGTCTGATTAAAATTAAATCTCTGATTAAAAATCATATATTTACACAGATTATTTTTAACAGGACCGTAATCTACTATTTAATATAATTCTTATAGAAATATAATATTTATAAAAAATAATTTATGCAAAAACTTGATATAATTTTTTTATATTAAATATTACTAGTAGTTTTCTGTATGAAATATTACTAGCAATAGAGAGATATTAAATAATATATTTTATTATAAAGCCCTAATTAGTACCAGAAGTGAACTTATTTTCTGTTTTTAATTTTTAATCAAATATCTCTATAATTTTTGGTACAACTTCTTCAATTTATTCAAATTAAGCTTGTTTTTGATAAATATTAACAAAATAAATTTGATTCTGATTCAGTTGTTTAAATAAATAACGCTTCCTTTGTATTATATTCTTTTTTTTAAATTAAATATTAATTAATAATAACATTATATAAATTATACAAATGTCTCATTAACGTTCACAATCATTTATTTAAAAAATCTACTCCAATTTTAATATACCTATATTAACAAAATAAATTTGATATTGATTGGGTATCAGTATTTGTATCATACTAGGTTTTTTTAAATAAATATTATTTTAATAATGATATTATATTAATTTAGTAGAATTTATGTTTTTGCTGCTTAAACAAAGGTCTCACTCATTTTTCAGTTTGACTTTTTTAATTTTTTTCATTTTTAATTCTATTGCCTGCAAGTCGAGTTCTATTTTTGTCTTCTAAATTACCAAAAAAGTTGCTGGTCAGTAGAGTCCCTTTTTTAACCTTTTTAATACTTTTGTTGACTTGTACTTGTTTGCTCGTCAGTAGAGTCCTTTTTATTTAATATTGAATTAAATTTATTTATTTAAATTCATTTATTTAATTTTAAACATTTTTAGTAGATTCCTATTTTTGTCTTCCAAATTACCAAAAAAGTTGCTCGTCAGTAAAGTTCTTTTTTAACCTTTTGTAAAACTTTAGTTGACTTGTATTAGTTTGCTCGTCAGTAGAGTCCCTTTTTATTTAAAATTCATTTTTGATCCTTTTGCCAGTAATGTTTTATTTTTGTCTTCTAAATTGTAAAAATTGTTTTTTAATAATAATATTTTAAAAATTTTATTCCATTCCTCCAACATTTGTCGACGGTTAAATAAATCGATAGGGCTCCGTAAAGGCATAAAATAGCCCTTTACGAGTCAAAAGTGAGTTATTTCAACAAATGACCGTTTAGTCGTAAACAATTATGAATTACGACCGAAACCGACAACGAGGAGGCGTTAAAATTAAATTACGACCACAAAATTACCAACATTTTTAATGTAAAATTAGGTGTAAGTGGTATTTCAACTAAGGCAATACTAATCTTTTATTGTTGAACGCCTCAAATTATATTCTCAGTCTCAGTCGACATCTATTAGTATGTTTCCTCCTAGAGATATCAAATTTCTGTTAAAACATGCTGTCATTCTTCTCCTGAGGTAGAAAATTTGTCCAACTGATGAGAAGATCTTTTGATATTTGACATCTTTTGATTTTTTTCTTTCGTTTTTTCATGTACGGAGGCGCCTGAGCGACGTCTCTTATAATGGATGACTATTTTTAGGCTAGATTTTACACACATCATCGTCGTCATCATATGGAGTCACATTTGTAACGAATCAATTACGAGGAATTATGATAAAGGACATATGGAGTTTATAAAAAATATAAATCTTACCCATATCAGACTCAATAAAAAATATAATAATTTCTTAAATATTTTATTTTTATATACTGAAGGTTTAGAATACAAAATCAACTCGCCTGCGTTTATTATTATAACCCCATAAAATATTTGCCCGCCATAAGCTCCTTATTCCAGCAAAAAGCAACCCCCTGCAACTCCTTTTATCTTTGATAAGTAACGTGTCAGAAGGAGCATTTACAACTTCATAAACTGCAAGAGCGGGTGCTCCTTCAAAGAAAATCTCTCGTGGGAGCCCCCTTCAATCGACAGGAGATTGATTCTGATCAAATGATAACACGTCATTTTCACACTTGTATGGAAATTGATTATTCGAATAAATAAATTTGGCGAAACCGGCAGAGTTCCGTAACAAAATAGTAATAAAATTTTGTAGATTATTAGAGGCCTATGGAAAATGCTAGTGCTAAATTAATTTTGTTATTTATGGTTATAAAAAACGTTAAAAAAATTGGTATATATATACATATTATATTTAAATGTATCTCAATGTGTTATATTTCCGAAGACAATTATCTGTCAAGTAGATAATTTATTTTCGAGGCCAAAGGAGGCATA